TGAGTTCATCGCATCGGGTGACACCGTGAGTTCATCGTATCGGGTGACACCGTGAGTTCACCACACTGGGTGACACCATGAGTTCATCGCACCGGGTGACACCGTGAGTTCATCGCGCCGGGTGACAACATGAGTTTACTGAAGTGGGTGACACCGTGAGTTCATCGCGCCGGGTGACACCATGAGCTTACATCATCGGATGACACCATGAGTTCATCGCATCGGGTGACACCGTGAGTTCACCGCACTGGGTGACACCATGAGTTCATCGCATCGGGTGACACCGTGAGTTAATCGCATCGGGTGACACCATGAGTTTACCGCACCGGGTGACACCACGAGTTCATCGCACCTGGTGACACCGTGAGTTCATCGCATCGGGTGACACCATGAGTTCACCGCACAGGGTGACACCATGAGTTCATCGCATCGGGTGACACCGTGAGTTAATCGCACCGGGTGACACCATGAGTTCATCGCACCGGGTGACACCGTGAGTTCATCGCGCCGGGTGACACCATGAGTTTACTGCAGTGGGTGACACCGTGAGTTCATTGCGCCGGGTGACACCATGAGCTTACATCATCGGATGACACCATGAGTTCATTGCACCAGATGACACCATGAGTTTTACCGCACCGGGTGATACCATGAGTTTATTGCATCGGGTGACACCATGAGTTTACCGCACCGGGTGACACCATGAGTTTACCGCACCGGGTGACACCAAGTGTTCTTCGCACCGGGTGACACCATGAGTTCACCGCACCGGGTGAACCCATGAGTTTACCGCACCGGGTGACACCATGAGTTCACCGCATCGGATGACACCGTGAGTTTACCGCACCGGGTGACGCCATAAGCTTACCGCACCGGGTGACACCATGAGTTTACCGCACCGGGTGACACCATGAGTTTATCGCATCGGGTGACACCATGAGTTTACCGCACCGGGCGACAGCATGAGGTTACTCCACTGCTTACGACTAAACTGCCTACAAAAAGAAACACCAGAATTCACAAATGCGCAATATATAAAGAACAGCTGCAGATAGTGTGTAATCTATTCACCATGATCACAAGCCACTGAATGATGATCTAAGCGTGTTTTCAAATTTAAGAAATATTTATCCAGTGAATTAAACAAAATCAAAACAAACGAGTCTATGATAAAATTAAGTGATAGAAAACATCTTGCACAGAGAGTATCACTGATGATTTTTGGGGGAATACCAGTTTTACAGAAAAAAAAGTATAAAATTTATAAATTTGTATGTAATGTTTTCATAATACTGAAAAAATTGGAGTTTAAAAAGATTTAAGGGAAAAGTTATTCGCGTTTCCAAACATTCTAAAATTGTTTTAAAGACAAGAAAAGCATTATAATTCTCTTTAATAAATTATTTAACAAGGTTTATTATTTTTAATATAAAATATTGTAAGAGTAAATGGTTGTTTATTAAAATGCTAACGGGGGCAACCCAAACCTGTTGTGAGTGTAACATGAGAGGTGCATTATCCCATAATACATAATACTAATTCAAGATGCACGGACTTTGAGGGTTATTTTGCCCACTTGGACATGTGCCATGTTACCCTTTTTTCAATGGCATAAAGTATAGGATCTGTGTCCTTAACTGGAATTTTAGCACGAACTATTTTCTAAAGTATTTCCCCAGTTCCTGGTTTATCGTCACTTTCAAGCACTACGAGGACTTGAACTATGGGGTAGACCTCGTTTTTGAAACTCAGTGACGTAGACATGTATTCCTTTGTGTTAATTTGGTGCGTGCGTGATCAAGCACACGGCGGCGAAAGCAGCGAATGAGAGCGCAGCAAGGTGCGCAGCGAGAACGGGACAGACCAGACCCACTCGGGAATTATTATTATAGAAACGAAACCCGCATTGTCATTTAAATATTTATGTGTTACCCATAGGCCATTATAAATTAAATAATTTTAGTGGGTTTTGAAATATAACTATCTATGATGAAAAATTTCGAAAAAAAATGACATCACTGGGTTTTCCCGTAAACTCTTCAAATAATAAGCCGTTTCTGGAAACGTAAACGTTTTTTGGAAACGCTGCTCTAGGCTGTTTATTGGTCTAAAATAGAAGTGGGTGGGGTATTAGTGATCAAATGGTTAAAAGAAATAATAATTTCATGAAATCTTGGGACATGAGGATTTTATTATTGCAAAAGATTGTTGATTATATTTCTGAGAGAATAGAAACAAAAGTGAAAATTCAATGAAGCAAACAGCATAAAATCTAACATAAAATGCTGTCCAATAGATTTCTGTTGCATTGTCCTACCGCTGTCTCAAGTTGCCTTGCAGGACAGTGATATAAACGCTCAATTCTATTGGTTTCAAAGCCAGCTTTTAGCCATCACGTATTCATAGTCTTAAAAATAACCTACGGATTGAAATGAACTATAAGAAATGGAACTACAATGCTCTGAAAAAAAAATGTGCGCTACTTATAAGCTACATATTATACGTTTATTTCTTTAATTTTATTCTAGACATTTTATTCATGCGACTGTTGGGCCTATCTGTATAATCAGGGCGTAAAGTGTTTTGATGTATCGCCTGTTCGATAGCTGTGCAAGCAGTTATTAATCCGTGTGGTCGTACCGAGAGATGTTTTATTTGGAACTTCTGCCTCATGCGCCAATCCAGTGGCGTAGCTAGGGTTAGAGTAAACCGGTTGGGACCAGAATTTAACCGGCCCCATGCACGGAACAAAAACCTCTGCAGTAGGCTGAGAATGTCACCCTTCCATGTAAAGCAAAAACGTGACCCAAGGGTGGCAGACCACAACATCCGCACACACCCCACCTTTCTTCCGACGCCACTGCATCAGTCAGCCTGATTAACTTTCATAAAATATCAAAGTTCTAGATATCTGATACATGAACGTATTTGTGGACACAGCACATAGATTATTGCTTTTGGGTGTTCCTTATTTCAACTTTATTCACCATTGGTCAGTCCACAGTGTTGGTGTTTATTCACCACTGGTCAGTCCACAGTGTTCGTGTTTATTCACCACTGGTCAGTCCACAGTGTTCGTGTTTATTCACCACTGGTCATTCCACAGTGTTCGTGTTTATTCACCACTGGTCAGTCCAGAGTGTTGGTGTTTATTCACCACTGGTCAGTCCACAGTGTTGGTGCTTATTCACCATTTGTCAGTCCACAGTGTTGGTGCTTATTCACCACCGGCCAGTCCAGAGTGTTGGTGTTTATTCACCAAAGGTCAGTCGTAAATTGTTGGGGTTTTATTCCATTATGAAGATGCCAATGACATTATCTTTACTACTGAAGGCTACGAGATGCCGCAGACTCGTGACGTCACTGAAGCTTATATCGCTCGGTGTTCTGATGTCCATCCTTTTGGTCCAACCCATCAGGAATACCCTTGTGCCGTGCTGGCCCCGTGTGTACAGAGACATGAGCACCATTAAGGTAGGTTCTTTCAATAGGACCTCCTTTCATATGTGCCATACAGGTCAGGTAGGATTCCTAGTAGAGATTCTACATTTTTAAAGCTCAATATCGTAAGGTCCATTCATTTATGTGAAAAAGTTGCTCAACACTTTTTACGACTTTAAAAATAAAAGATGAAGTATTACAGAAGAAAAAAACAAAACAAATTTCAAGAGTGTAATGCTCAGTTCACACGATCAAATTTCTTTTTGAGCGCGCTATTTTTTGAAACAAAATTGAGCGTTCAAAAAGAAATTTGACGAAAATTTGATCGCGTGAACTGAGTGTTAATTATTAATGTGTAAACGTGTCGAACCTAAATGAATACTTAAATATGTTGAGTCTTACAAATCTTTAAACTAATATATATCATAAATGACATCCATAGCATTGGTCATATTCCGCATCTGATATCTCAACTTACAGAGATGATTCACCTCTCACAGGTGGCAAGGATGTATCTGGAAGATTTCTTCTTCTATGTGGACACGACCCCTTACTCCGGGGGCTGTGCCGGAGTGCATGCACGTCTCGCCCTCACCCGAATGCCACGCCTCGACGACATGACCGTGTATGAGCTACACGCGTGGGACAGTCACGTGACACGACTAAAACCAGTCCTCCCCGAGGAAGAATTTGAACTTCTCGGGAAATTCCAACCGTCGCTGAGCGGCCGAGAACAGAAGTTCCTGATGTTTGCCATGATCTCAGCCACGCAGGCCCTCGCCGCTTTCAACATTACGTACCTCGTGAGGGGCGGCTCCCTCATAGGTTACTGGCGCCACCATGGGAGAATACCATGGGACGAAGATGTGGACATCCTCGTGGACAGCAAGCAATGGCCGCTGGCCAGAAAAGTATTGTCATGTCTACCAGACTTGCAGATAAACATCGGGAGCGATCATATGTGGAAATTATTTCACAAAGACGGTCAACTGTGGAAGAGAGAAAACTACATCAAGTTTCCATACGTTGATATTTTCTTATACCGAGAGGATTCTGATCACGTGTGGCCGCTGACGATATGGATGAAGATGATTACGATGAAAAGAGAGTGGGCATTACCCCCTTCCAGGGGCGTGTTCGACGGCTGGCCCATATCTGTACCCCACAAGCCAGCTTACGTGCTGCATGAACTTTACCCCGGAAGAATTATGTCCGACTGTTACGCGCAAATCTTTCAGCGACGCATGCGCAGCTCAGTGCCAAGTAAAGAGCGCGTGCACATCTCGTGTTCTCTACTGCGTGGTGTTTACCCTCTTGTTGTGCGTCATATTGAAGACAATACTGTGGTAGAGCAGAGGATGTTAGGCTCCAGAATATTGTCAACCTTCAACACAACATACCATGGCTTTTTAGATTAGTTAAAAACTAAAATTGGCTTTTTAGATGAGCTCAAAACATAATATGGCTTTTTAAATTAGTTCAAAACATTACACTGCTTTTTAAATTAGTTCAAAACATTCCATGGTCCATGGCTTTTTAGATAAGCTCAAAACATAATATAGCTTTTAGATTAGCTGAAATATATCACATCTTTTTTTTAGATAAGCTCAAAGCATATTAAGGATGTTTAGACTAAGTCATGACAAAAAATATTTTGATATGTAATTTTGTATTTATTTTGTACCCCTGAATGCTGTTTATCCATACCTGCAGGTTTGTTGTGTCATTGACGTCATAGTGTTATTTAATTGGGCCTTGTTTATATTTTTTTTTTTTTAAAACAATAAATTCTAATGTATTAAGATCACTGGATGATTTAATGGAACAAAAATACATGTTCTAGATTATGAGCACTATAGGATTGTATAACTGGCTGAATGTCACTGGAATATGCGAGGATTGATAACTCATTTATGTAACACTGTTTTGTGTACGATGAACACAAGTAAACCATATATATATATCAATGATGAATGATACATGTAAACTCCTCAACACCACATTTTGGACCCTGCTAGTGTAATGGTGCAGGTAAGTACCGCCTCTATATTGGACCCTGCTAGTCTAATGGTGCAGGTAAGTACCGCCTCTATATTTGACCATGCTAGTCTAATGGTGCAGGTAAGTACCGCCTCTATATTGGACCCTGCTAGTCTAATGGTGTAGATAAGTATCGCCTCTATATTGGACCCTGCTAGTCTAATGGTGAGGATAAGTACCGCCCCTATATTGGACCATGCTAGTCTAATGGTGCAGGTAAGTACCGCCTCTATATTGGACCCTGCTAGTCTAACGGTGTAGGTAAGTATCGCCTCTATATTGGATCCTGCTAGTCTAATGGTGCAGGTAAGTACCGCCTCTATATTTGACCATGCTAGTCTAATGGTGCAGGTAAGTACCGCCTCCATATTGGACCCTGCTAGTCTAATGGTGCAGGTAAGTACCGCCTCTATATTTGACCATGCTAGTCTAATGGTGCAGGTAAGTACCGCCTCCATATTGGACCCTGCTAGTCTAATGGTGTAGGTAAGTACCGCCTCTATATTGGGCCCTGCTAGTCTAATGGTGTAGGTAAGTACCGCCTCCATATTGGACCCTGCTAGTCTAATGGTGTAGGTAAGTACCGCCTCTATATTGGGCCCTGCTATTCTAATGGTGTAGGTAAGTACCGCCTCCATATTGGGCCCTGCTAGTCTAATGGTGTAGGTAAGTACCGCCTCTATATTGGGCCCTGCTAGTCTAATGTGCAGGTAAGTACCGCCTCTATATTGGACCCTGCTAGTCTAATGGTGTAGGTAAGTATCGCCTCTATATTGGACCCTGCTAGTCTAATGGTGTAGATAAGTATCGCCTCTATATTGGACCCTGCTAGTCTAATGGTGTAGGTAAGTACCGCCTCCATATTGGACCCTGCTAGTCTAATGGTGTAGGTAAGTTCCGCCTCTAAGTAAGTCACTAATAAACACATAAAAAAGTTCCAGTAAATTTTGTGATACACAAAGCCTTTGGACGACAATATCTTCCCTGGGCTTAGTTAAATGATAACAAACTGTAATAATAACAAACTATACTCGTACATTTTAAAACATTTTTTATAACTTATTGCAATTATAAAATTAAAGAATGTTGTGACATTTTCTTGAGCCATCACAGAATTTAATCATTGACTTCATGAGTCTTATATTTATGATGTTTGCTATTGCCGTGACAATTTATTTATGACTTGTGAAACCAGTCAAATGATGACCTGGCCGTTATGCATGAAAGACTATGATGACAGATGAATTTAGCTAGTGGATGGGTCACTGAAATATAACATAAAACAATTTTATAGAGCTGGAGGTTTGAACATCGGCTTGATGACTAAAATTGCCAAGGATGAAACAACAGCAACAACAAGAAACAGCCAAAATAACAACCTGTCCATGACATGGGCAACAAACTGCCACTCTGCAACTAGTTCCTGGTACTTGTCGAATTCAGGATCATACGCGTACATAGCTTGACCCCGATCCATTGCATAGTCAATCGGTACAGGGAAGCCAGCCCTGAAGGACCCGCGGAACCTCTGGTCTCTTCTGAAGCTTGACCTTAAACTAGACCGGAAGCTCGTTGATAAGGTGGAAGGCATCTCGTAATGAGTTCCTTGGGAGAAGCCGTAGTCCGAGCACTGTCCGGCCTGGTAGCCAACAGTCTGTAGGGAGAGCTCGTGACTCGCCGGGGCGACTCGGTCGCCGTTGCCGTTGATCCGCTGCAGGCTGGCTTCACCGTTACAGCTTCTAGCATTGCTGCCGCCACCTCCTCCACCTCGGTAGCCTATTCTCTCAGCTCCCAAGGATTCTGTCGCGCCGCCCCCGGCACTTATGGCGCCGCTGTCAGCGGGTTCGTTGATGTGAACGGTGTGAGTCGTCTGGTCGGTTGCTTTCGTGATGTCTTTGAAGGTCTGTGAATCCTGACGCATGCACACGAGACGAGCGAACAACCCGAAGACCAGGGACTTGAGCCAGCGGGGGACCCGTCTTTTGTGCGGACCGACGTGGTGGAGCTGTAACACGAAGACGGTCAAGATGATGGACAGTGACGTCATGCCCATGGTCACCGTCAAGTAGATGCCTGGAATGTAATAAGGTTTCTTATTTTTTTATTTATTTATTTGACTCGGCACAATCAAAATTAACAAAATTTAAGAAAATCCCCAGGTTAAAAAAAGAGAACCTGACATGAGCAAGTGTAAGAAAAGACCAGATCCCTCTATTAGACTAATTCGAATAACTGATATTGTTTAAGATGTCCATCAATTTTGTGATGGTCAAGTAATTAAAAAACCTATTTCTGTCCTAGACGGCAATTGTAAACGCGTTGTCCCATCGTACAAACTGAACTTTGAACTCACCGATGAGCGGTACAAACTCGGACGTGGCGGGCATGCTCTCAGCTATCAGCAGCATGAAGACAGAAAAGGCCAGCAACACCGTGATGCCAAGGGTTATCTTCTCCCCCGAGTCCGGGGGCAGCCAGAATCCCAGTAAACTGTGTGAGTAGACAATGCTTTGGTTTATTGAACGCCATCAAAAAGTTAAACAATAACATGTGTTAAGTACTCGATCTTGGGAGGAGTTCAACTAAAAAGAACTTAATGAACTGTTCATTTTTAGTGGACTTTATTTGTTCATGAACGTTTCCACACACAAAATAAATTAAAAAAAACAAAAAAAAACGCAAAAAAAAAAAAAAAAAAAAAAAAAAAAAAAAAAAAAAAAAAAAAAAAAAAAAAAAAAAAAAAAAAAAAAAAAAAAAAAAAAAAAAAAAAAAAACAATTACACAAAAAAAAAAAAAAAAAAAAAAAAAAAAAAAAAAAAAAAAAAAAAAAAAAAAAAAAAAAAAATTAAACAAAAAAAAAATAAACAAAAAAATAAACAAACAAATAAAAGAAGAAACAGACAAACAGATGTGTTTACAATATTTTAACATCAAAAGTTATTTTGGGCAGTGGCCTCTAATCCAGGGTAGGTGCCACCCAGCTCGGGCTAAGATTCGTGTCACCCACTTTCCTCGAAAAACCCACCTCTTCAGTTGGCCAAAAATGCCGCCCCTTTACATAAAGAAAAAAGTACCGCCCGCCCCCTTCCTCCCCCCTTTCTACGCCACTGATTTTGGGCTTTTCAAATCTATGTCATTAAGATTAATTTTTAGGTTGGGCCCATAAGGCACTTTAAAAAATGACTTTTAGCATACAAACTAAATTTTACCCTAAATTTTGTGTTATTAACCCCCCCTAATGGTTCTCTGAAATATAACGCTGTAGGCCAGTTTGGAATAGTCAAATGATGCTGTTTCATGTTCTTGCCTTCTTTAGTTACACTTTAAAAAAAATGAAAACGTGATAAGTGATTATTAAGAAAAAAAAAACGAATTCATACTGTTACGCAAGTTACTGTATTTATACATGTATCTCACTGCCAGCAAGACTGGAAAACACAATATCTTCAGCTTCATTTATTTCATGCAAAGCTAGAAATGATGGCGCTGCACACTTGCACATTCGCCCCCCCCCCTCTCCGCCTTTCCAAAACATGATTTAAACGTCTGGTCTTATCGACCGGCCTTTACCTTAATATCGTCAGCCACAAGCAGGGGAAGATAATGTTGAACAAGTAGTAGAGAGTTTTCCTCCTTATGACGATGGTGAACCTGACGTCAGGGTAAGGCTCTATGCAGCAGGCGTACGTCACCTCGGTGCGTCTGATTCTGACGTCCATCAACTCCCACTCACCGCTGAACACGTAGTTCTGCAGGTCAACTGTGGCAGAGCTGGGCCATGGACAAAAAAAAATATATTAGTTTTAATATAGACTTGTGCTTTGGAAAAAATAGATAGTTTTAAAATAGACCTAGACCATGGACAAAACAGTTAGTTTTAATATAGACTTAGGCTATGGCCAAAATAGACAGTTATAATATAGACCTATCCTATGGATATCATAGAATCTCAGTCCTGCACAACATAGGCCCCTGTGCCGCATGCGACCCACCTGAATCCACTCTGCGAGATAACGAAATATTATTTTCTTAATAGCTTTCTCTCCTGTCTTATTTTCTTTCGGCCCGCACAAGTTTTTCATTTAGTATTATGGCACGCCTTACATTTTTGAGTTGTGCAGGCCTGACATAGCTAATTTTTATGAAGACCTGGAAGACGAGAAAACCGGTTGTATGGTCCAAGACTCCTAATTTGACTTTCGACTTCGCG